TATATATATATATATATATATATATATATATATATATATATATATATATATATATATATATATATATATATATATATATATATATATATATATATATATATATATATATATATATATATATATATATATATATATATATATATATATATATATATATATATATATATATATATATATATATATATATATATATATATATATATATATATATATATATATATATATATATATATATATATATATATATATATATATATATATATATATATATATATATATATATATATATATATATATATATATATATATATATATATATATATATATATTTTTTTTTTTTTTTTTTTAATATAAAATACTTATATCTTAATATAAAGGGACTTTTAATATTTTTACTGCTGATCTTACTGCTGGCCTTGTGATGCCTTTAATCAGGGTGCGAATGACAGGGGGGTTTGGGTGGGATTGGACCCCCCCCCCAATTAATGCTTGATCTCCCTGAAAGACATCAAAACAAGACGTATGGGAGGGTCAGCCCTTTAATACTAAGAAACAGCTTTCTCCAATCTATATTTTAAATATTAATCATTAAAAATGTATAATATAAATATAAATTTGACCCACCCTATAATGGTTTATACCAATGTGAATGCATAATCGCTAATCAATGCTAGGAAAAAAATATATCATTAAACAGTCAGAAACTGGCCGTTCTAGAGCACCAATAGACATGTTAAGTATCCACAACACACATTTCTTGTAAAATAGGTGTTTATATCTGCATGTAAACAACAAAAAGAAAATATTAGACACATAATGTGTATAGTTTGACCTACAGCAACCTTTAAAATATATCCCTAAAAACATTGAAAATGTGAACATTATATTACTAAATTAGATGTTTTTATTATTATTGAAATGTTTTTTATTTATTTATTTTTTTAACAAATAGGACGCCAGTGTAACATTAAGAACACTGACGTTGTGTAAAGTTGATGTTTTTTCATTGTGTCTAAAGAAACTTCTGGTCTCTGTAGAATTCGTGTCTTGCTCGGCCAGAAACTATAATGGACAATTTCATTGCTCCTGGAAATGGCATCATGAACGAACCCACAAAGCCGTGGTATATTTCGCTGCCATCAGGTAATGAACATTCGGGATTAACAGTTTAGTAAAGAAATTATAATCAGGATTATAGTATGTAAAACAGTACAAATCAAATCTGTCCTTGTGTTTACGCAGAAACTCATCTGACCTCAACTGCACCCTGGACTCTAATATCTCGGAACTGACCTGCATCGATAAGGATTATTGTCCGTATTCGGAAGAGCCTTTGAGCATCAACCTCACGCTGCTCGTCAGAAACATGTTCAGGCTGGAGGAACATCACAGGACTTTCTTCATCCGAGACATTGGTGAGAGCTTTGTGTGCCCCCGGGTGGTCACTACATGTTATAGCCGTATTTAGAGCGAATGTGTAGCTCAGCAATAAAAGTTGTAGCTCCAAAATTATAGATAAATATGAAAGCCCGTTCCCGCCACTGAATTAATAAATAAAAAAAAATACAATGTAAAAACATTGATAAAGTCAGAATTCTGAGTTATAAAGTCAGTATAACTCAGAATTGCGACTTTATAATTCAGAATTGCAACTTTATAACTCAGTATTCTGACTTTATAACTCAGAACTTAGATTCTTAGATTCTGATTAAACTCGCAATTCTGACTTTAAAACTCACAATTCTGACTTTATAACTCGTAATTCTGACTTAATAACTCGGAATCCTGACTTTATAACTCGGAATTTTAACTTAACTAGGAATTCTGACTCCATAACTCACGATCCTGACTTTATAACCCACAATTTTGACTTCATGATTTTTGATTATATGTATTCATATATATATATTTTAATCAGTGGCAGGAATGGGCTTCCATAAACGCTTGAACAAATGACACTTAATTGATGTTTGTTCAAACTGCTTGTTTAAAATAAGCTGAAACATCATTGCAACAACTTAATTGTTTTATGTTGAATCCATTAAAATTTGTAAAAACTTAACAAGTTAACTTAATTCCTTCATGTTGTCCCATCACAAATCGATTGTGTGGAACCCAGCATTTTTTACAGAGTAGTTTAGCATTCTAAAGTGTTTATGTCAATACTATTTTAAAAATAGTTGTTCGTCGTTTGGTTTTACATTTTTAATTTCTATTTCAGTTTAAGTTTGAGTAATTCCAGTCTAATAACATGTGCTGTATTGACCAGAGCAATTAAGGGGGTGCTGGATGGGGGGGTCCATATGTAAATTTCCCACCAAAAAATTTAAAGTCCTAAAACATTAAACATTTTATATGGACCATCTGTAGCTTTTTTATAAATGAATGCAATAAATTATAATATAGATTACTTGAATTTGTTTACACGTTATCAGAATATATATTTTTTAATAAAACACACACAAAACATTTTACTCAATATTCAGAACCAGTAATAACAAATCCATAAGTGGTTTCATTTGGTGTTTATTTCAGAACTTGTATAGTACAATTTAATACATTATCCAGTAGAATTTAAAGGAAGACTTTTGGAAATAGGCTAATTTTACAACTCCTCTAGAGTTAAACCGTTACGTTTTACTATTTTTGAATCCACTCTGCCAAACTCCAGGCCTGATGGAAGCATTTTTATAGCTTACGCCAGAGTGACAATATAATTTTTAAAACGTATCAACCTTGGAAATAGCAGCTTTTCATTTTTTCTTTTTTATTGTGGAATTTTTGTAGCAAGATGCTAATGGTCTAATCCGATTCAATGATTTATGCTAAGCTAAGCTAAAAGTGCTCTCTCAGACTCAGAGATCAACTGAATGGATTCAAAAATGGTAAAAACCAACTGTTTAACTCTAGACAACTTGTAAAATGAGCCTATTTCCGAAAAGTGCACTGTAAAGTCAACATTATCAAATAAGTAAACTCAAAATTTACTGAAACTTAATTCTACTCATGTAAAAAGAGTTTTGAAATCAGTGTTGAAGGTAATGAGTTAAATACCTCATTACTTCAGCTTAAATGGAGTAAGTTCACAGTACTCATATAGATTAGTTTAACTCAAATGGTTTGTAGCAATCAGTTTTCTCACATGGTTTGTGTTGCCTTAACTTATTGGGGTTTACAGTACTCATTTGGTTTGAGTTCTCCGTTTATTGAGTTTTACTGTGCTCAAATTGATTCGTTTACTCAAATGGATTAAGTTCACAGTACTCATTTGGATTAGTTTTTTACCTTTACTTTTTGGGTTTTAAAGTGTGGAGTGTCCTTTAATAGCGCAGCATGTTTTAGGAATTCATCTTAAATCAGTTTAATTCATCTTGTGGTCCACCCAGTTGAGAAACACAGTATTAAACTGCTATTTTCCCATAATTCATTGTGTCTCGATTCATTCAAACCTTCAGTCAAGCCAGATAAAGTGGGCATCACCAAGATCCAGGACAATGAGTTTGAGTGGCGCCCCCCACAGACCTGGAGTTTCCCCTGCAGTTTCTTTCCTCTTTCCTATGAGATCAAAGTAGTTCCAAGAAGTCATGATTGCGACTACACAGGGAATCGTGTTGAAGTAAGACATTTATTTCTATTTTCAAATTCAGTTCATTGAGATCAAACAATTAAAAATATACATTTCTCATATAGCAAAATGAAACCAACAAGACACATTACAAGGTGAATAGCAAAAAGCCGTATACTTTCTGCATTCGAGCTCAGGACCCACTAACTAAAGCAGTTTGGAGTGACTGGAGTCATCATCATCAGTGAGTATAAAGTAATATCCAGTATATTTATGTGTTTTATGAACAAGTTTAACTGTACATTCCACATCTATTGTGTTGCAGGAAAAAACACCATCACATCCTGGAAAAATAAAAAGTGAGTTTATTTGTTCTTATTACTGATAATTATGTTTTTTATTTTTAATTATGCAGTTCGTATCAATACTACTGTTAATCTGAATAATATTTCTCACTTTATTTTGTTAATTCAGGTCTCAAAGGAACACTGCACTCAGCTAGATTATCAGCCTTCAATTGCTGAAAGATGTTCATATTTATTTATTTATATGTGATAAGTTTTGAGCTCCAAGTGTTTTCATGCATTTACTTTCCAGATCATTAAAAATATTGAATGTTCTTGGATTTGTCAGTTTTTCACCATTTATTGTGTTATATTTAATATTCATTTCATTTATTTTATTAAATAGTGTTAGCTAATGGGGCTTTTTGCAAATCAATGGCCGAACATTTCACAGTAACCTTTTATGTGCGTGCAAGAATATAATATAACATAATATAATAAAATATAATATAATGCATTTTCTTTTCGGCTTAGTCCCATTATTAATCTGGGGTCGCCACAGCAGAATGAATCGGCAACTTATCCAGCAAATGTTTTACGCAGTGGATGCCCTTCCAGCTGCAACCTATTACTGGGGAACACTTATACACTCTCATTTATTCTCTGGCAATATAATATAATATAATATAATATAATATAATATAATATAATATAATATACGTGAATTAAATTCATAAAATGTATTTGATCATTTTCTTCCTGTCTCTTTTACAGTTCCATGGCTGTACATCAGTCATAACTTTGTCAAAAAAGATTTTTTCATGGATTTTTCAATCAGGTTCAGATCAGGACTCCTTCAAAAACTTCATTTTTCCAATGTTTTCAGCTTCAATAAATAAAGCAATGTTACAGAAAGAGCTTCTGATAAACACTTGCATTCAATTTGTCATGTAGCTTTAATAGAAGCCAATCTTCTAGTTTAGAAATCCACCATGACATTTCGTTCCATACTTTAGGTTTAGTCTTTCCTCAGATTAATGAAAAACATGTTTTCTATTTGATCGAAATAAACACACTGAGGGCTCAGTTTTTTCCCTATATTTCGAAGAACATATGTTTTACTAAAAAATAAACTTGCATTCATCACTAATGTGAACTTTACAATGGACAAACTGGAAAGTTAAGCAGCCAGTTACATAGGGTTTGTCAGATAATTATGGAATTTACCACTGTGTGCAAGTTTAACACCAATAACTTGGAAGTTTCTGAAAGTATTCTTCAATTTTGTACTGCTTCAGAATAAGTAACATTATTCAGAATAATGTAACTTATGAAATATACAGTTAAAGTTAGAATTATTAGCCCCCTTTGAATTTTTTATTTCTTTTTTAAATATTTCCCAAATGATGTTTACAGGGCAAGGACATTTTCACAGTATGTCTGATAATATTTTTTCTTCTGGAGAAAGTCTTATTTGTTTTATTTAGGCTAGAATAAAAGTAGTTTTGAATTTTTAAAAACCACTTTAAGGTCAAAATTATTAGCCCCTTTAAGCTATATGTTTTTTGATTTACAAACTATCGTATACAATGACTTGCCTAATTACCCTAACCTGCCTAGTTAAACTAATTAACCTAGTTAAGCCTTTAAATGTCAGTTAACCTGTATAGAAGTGTCTTGAAAAATTATGAGTCAAATATTATTTACTGTCATCATGGCAAAGATAAAATAAATCAGTTATTAGAAATTAGTTATTAAAACTATTATGTTTAGAAATGTGTTGACAAAATCTTCGCTCTGTTAAACAATAATTAGGGGAAAAAAATAAAAAGGGGGCTGAAATTTCAAGGGGGGCTAATAATTCTGACTTTAACTGTACTTAAAGTGCCCGTATTGTGTTACAAATTGTCATAATTTGGTTTTAAGAGTCCCTAAAAACAGGTTGAAATGCATGCAAATTCAAAAACAACACTTTCGATATCTTAATATGATTCCCATGTGATTTTCTCTTTTGTGTGATACTAATCTGCAATAATTGATCTGGTAACTGATCTGTTGTGTCTGATAAAATGGCAAAAAATGGTAAAACTCAACTGTTGACTTGTGAAATGAGCCTATTTCCAAAAACAAAAAAGGGTTCCTTTAACATTGACTATGGTTATGAAATGCTTTAGAAGATTTAATTGTTCACTGTTAGTTCACATTATTGAATGGGACCTTAAAGCAAAGTGCTACTATAAAGGATTTGTGAACTAATAAATACAGTTGAGGTCAGAATTATTAGCCCTCCTTTTAATTTTCTTTTCTTCTATAAATATTTCCCAAATGATGTTTAACAGAGCAAGGAAATTTCCACAGTATGTCTGATAATGTTTTTTCTTCTAGAGAATGTCTTATTTGTTTTATTTCAGCTAGAATAAAAGCAGTTTTTAATTTAAAAAAAATAAATTAAGGTCAAAATTATTAGCCCCTTTAAGCTATATTTTGTTTTCGATGGTCTACAGAACAAACCATTGATATAACTTGCCTAATTACTCTATCCAGCCTAGTAAGTTAACCTAATTATCCTAGTTAAGGCTTTAAATGTCACTTTAAGTTGTATCGAAGTGTCTTGAACAATATTTAAAATATTATTTACTGTCCTCATTGCAAAGATAAAATAAATCAGTTATTAGAAATGAGTTATTAAAACTATTATGTTTAGAAATGTGCTGAAAAAAATCTATTAAACAGAAATTGGGTAAAAAAAATAATAAACAGGGGGATAATAATTTAGGGGGGATGATGATTCTGACTTCAACTGTATATGCACAAGGTGAAGCCTTTGTTTTACAATGGCAAACAAACAGACACTGAAAAACTACTGTAAAACCATTTAATTTAAATGTCCATTTTTAAGGTTCCATCAGTAAACCCAACGCCCACATTTGAGCACTGGCTGCAATGCAGTTACACAAAATGCAATACGGTTACAATAATATCTACTGAGTTAATGACAAAAAACACAAACTGGAGGGTGGAAATATCGACAAGCTTCAATGCTATGACTAGACAGATAAAAAAAAAAAAAGTTGGTCAGGCTACTTTGATATGACACATTTATCTCCCTTAAGTCATGTGACCATTTAAGTGACCATACAAACTTACATCACACCATCCAGTTAGCATATTATGTTAGTGATAAAACAAAACATGCATGTAAACATGACTCCTGTCCTTTATTGTTCGTTTTGGAGATTTGAAACGAAGCTGAAAAAGCGTGTTCACTTATAAACCTCGTTTTTTTTTTTTTCTGCAGTTTGAAATTATTTGAATTCGGATTTTTTTTCCTTTTGAGAAAAAAAATACTGGTTTACCATTCTGTAGCATTCAAAGCTCTTTATTAATTGATAATTAAGTATGGAAGCTTTTTTTCTGCAAAGTGATAAAACAATTAGACAAAAAAAAAAAATTGTATTCCAAAGCAGAACCAAGCTTCCATAAACACAAAGACACTCAAGCATAGGTCTCAAATTTGATTTCTGGAGAGCCACAGCTCTGCAGGGTTCTGTTCCAACCCTAATCAAACACAGCTGATCTAACTAATCTAGGTGTTCAAGACTACAACGTGCTATTAAGCAGGTGAGAGTTGGAGGTGGCTGGAGCTAAACTATGCAGAGCTGCAGCCCTCCAGGAATTGGGTTTGAGACCATTGCTCTAAAGAGCTTTGAACGTCAAGCTGAAAATTTGGGAAAACAAAAACGACATCATATGCACTACTATTCCAATTAGATATGAACGACAAATTCTAATTTCCATATTACCAGTTTACTTATAGGAAGAAGTGTGATCAGGCAGGAAGTGAGGTAAGAGGATCGTCATGCTTGCCTGAATGCTTTTTACTGACCTGTTGAGGTAACCACTGTTTTTGAGCAGTGCTAGAATTTCATTATTTTTCATCCTTCAGTAACGACCCACTATAAAGACGTGTAAGATAACAGATGCAAAACGAAGAGAAGCTGATCAGCGAACAAGAGTTTCCAAACTCAAACCTTTTTTTTTTTTTGAGACACAACTTCTCTTCAGTGCTGAAGATGTTATTGATTCTGCTTCTTTGAGAGGTACCTGTGGGACAGGAAAAGAAATATATTATTTTTTATGTCACGTTTTTATTAAAATTATTTTATAATATGCTTGCTAAATGCATTACAGTGTAAAATTTCATAGAGTTTACTTAAAGTCGCTGTGAAATCTGATGTATAATACAGAAGAAAGCAATTCGAATTATAGATAAAGTGGGAAATTTGGAGCATACAAAGTATTTTATTTTAAAGATGAAGACAATTAAGGTTACTGATTTTAATAAAGGAATAGATGTGATCATATATAAATTCTATTCATAAATTCTCTTTCCCAGTTTAATGAGTTAGTCGTAACTATGTCACAAAAGATTTTCGCATGGATTTTTTTCAATCAGGTTCAATTCAGGACTTTAGGCTGGCCATTTCATTTTTAACAAAGTTTTCAGCTTCAATGAACGCAGGAAAAAAAAAAAACAATGTTTACAAAATGAGCTTCTGATAAACATTTGCATTCAATTTGCCATGTAGCTTTATTACTTCTAGTGTAGAAATCCACCAAACCATGACATTTTGTTACCCAAAGATACAAATTTGGTCATCATTTACTCGCCCTTTACTTATTTCAAACCTTTATGAGTTTCTTTTTAAACACAAAAGAAGATACTTTGAAAAAAGCTGGAAACCTGTAACCATTGTCTTCCATAGTATTTGTCTTTCAAATACTGAAGTTAATGGTTACAGGTTTTCAGCTTTTTTCAAACTATCCTCTTTTATATTCAACAGAATAAAGAAACTCAAAAGTTCGGAAGCACTTGTGAGTGATAATTGTCATGTTTGGGTGAACTATTCCTTTCAATTTAAAACGTCAGAAGTTATGTTTAAAGCTAGGAATAAATTACTTATGGAAAGAAACGAAAACATTTCAAAGAAAGACTGAGTGGATATAATCTAGCAAAATTTAGGATATTGAAAATGTGGACATGAAAAGTATTAAAAGCAATTACAGAATAGTCTGGAAAAGATTTTAAAAGTGTCCAGATAGTAAAGAGTTTAAAAAGTTAAATGTTTAAAAAAGAAATGTGTACAAATTTATTGAGATGATTTAGTTAGTGGATGTTAGCAGTACCATGTAAAGTTCGGGTTTATGTTATAAAGAAAATATACAAATTAGAAACATATCATTGGTAAGGATAAAAGATGAAATCAGTTGAATAGTGTGGAATTTGGGGTAATGAGGTGGAAAAAACAACTCACGTCATTTCCAAATGGTTAAA